AAAAGGACCACAGAAGCGATGCCGGAGTTTGGATGGGTGGTGAGACAGGTTCAAGTTGTGCGTGTCAAGAAGCACCTGATCTCCGACTGCTACTGAGTGATCACCTCGCTGACGATCAGCATACTGCTTCTGGGAATTCTGCATCGTGGTGAGACGTTGCTGAGTCGTCTCCCATAGCTGCTGCATGGTGGTGACGAAGTCATGTGCGGCTTGGACGTGTGCCGGTGTAGTTGGCTGCTGTGGTGTGAGTGGTTCCCGTCCGTAACACAGGAAGAAAGGAGTTTTCCCTGTGGCCGCATGTGATGCGTTGTTGTAAGCGGACTCTAGGGTTGGTAACTGTGTGTCCCAGTGGCTGACGTCGTCCTTGCAAGCTGTGCGCAGTAACTGTTCAACCACTTGATTGAGTCGCTCTGTTTGTCCATCAGTCTGGGGGTGGTATGCTGAAGACATTGCAAGCTTTGTCCCCAACAGTCCCATGAGCTCCTTCCAGAACTTACTCGTGAATTTGGGGTCTCTGTCTGAGATGAGTGTAGCGGGGATGCCGTGGATGGTGATGATGCGGTCGAAGAAGAGTCGAGCAGTTGCTTCAGCTGTAGCTGTGGCGTTGGTCGGTATGAAGTGACCCATTTTGAAGAACTTATCGATCACCACGAGGATGGAATCATGTCCCCGTGAGGTCGAAGGAAGCCCTGTGATGAAGTCGAGGCTAACGACCTGCCATGGCTACTCCGGTACGGGTAGAGGCTGAAGTAACCCTGCATTTTTTCTACTTTCTGCTCTTCATCCGCTGGCACGTGTCGCAAGAGGTTGTCAACGGGAGTTGGGTGTTGGCCCCGTCCTCGCTTGGGCGGAGCCGACTTTGTGGTCGGGTGTGGTCCCTAAACCCTGCTTTTTTCTGCTTGCTGCTCTTCATCCGCAGGCACGTGTCGCAAGAGGTGACGAACTGCTGCACGTCTGCTGCCATCCCGGGCCAGTAGTAATACTTTGCTATCCCTGCTAACGTCTTGTTGCTCCCGAAATGTCCCGCTTATGGTACGTCATGAAACTCCTCCAATAGGATCTGCCGTAGCGGGGCGTAATTCGGTACCCAAATCTTTCCTGAACCCTTCCTTACAGCTAAGTCTTTCTCCCAATGTAATAGCTTCTTGGTCTGTGCTGTAGCAATCTCTGCGTCCACGGAGTACCCATGTTGGAATAGACCCTTGAGCAGAGGGTTCATCCTGTCGAGCTGGATGCGTGCTACATGTCCGGGGCGGCTCAACACATCTGCCTTGTTGTGTAGCCCGGGCGTGTAGACGATGTCGTAGTGGAAGTGAGTTTCCAGGAAGTCCACCCACCGCACCTGTCGTCGTGAGAGTGTCGGCTGTGACTTCAGGTATTTGAGACTGCAGTGGTCAGTATAGACTGTAGTCTTGGCTCCCTCTAGGTAACACCTCCACGCCTTGAAGGCTATGACTATCGCTAAGGCTTCCTTGTCGTGAATGGGGTAGTTTAGTTCTGCTCCGTGTAGCTTCTTACTGAGGTAGGCGATGGGCTGCAAACCGCGTCCGTGATCCTGCATTAGTACTGCTCCGACTGCTTGGTCACTAGCGTCTGCTTCCACCACGTAGTCCTTGTCTGGATCCAGTAGGATGAGTACTGGCGCTGTAGTCAGTGCTGTCTGTTTGTTCAGTGCGCGGTAGTCGATGCACATCCGCAAACTACCGTCTGGCTTTGGAGTGAAGAGAACTAGTGCACCGTAGGGAGAGGTGGATGGGCGGACCAGTTGTCTGTCCAGTAGATACTCTATCTGTTTTTCATGTTTGTCAGTTCAGTTGGACTTAGTCGGTATGGTGCACGTGCGACGGGTTTCGCACCTAGTTCCTCCACGATCACGTGCTCGTGGGTGCGTGCTGGAGATACGCCTGTGGGTAGGTCGTCGGGCATTATATCCTTGTACTGCTCCAAGACCTCCTCCTCTGCTGCTGCTATAACCAGTGCTAAGTAACCCGTGTTACTCTCGTTCACTGTCCGTTCGAACCGTGTCAGTGTCGTTTTAGGAACGCTCCCTGTATCCGTCAAGCTTCGCAGCTCCACTCGTTTCCCGTTGTTGTAGATGCACGTTTTCCGGTTGACCCAGTCGATCTTGGGGCTGAACTGCTTAAGAAAATCTTGGCCCAAGATGAAATATAATCCCTTGATGTTCGTGATCGGCAACGTGGGCTTCCACCTCAACGACCCTATCTGCAGCTGCAGTGTTGACTTTCCGTGGATGGGAAGCTTCGTACCGTCCACCATTGTTGCTGTAAACTGGGTATTTTCTTAGGATTCTCCAATTTTCTCCAACGTCCCGCGGTCGCACACCGAGTGGGACGCACCACTGTCCACCAGGGTCTGGAGGCGACGCCCGTTGCAGATCACCTCGAGTACTAGTGGTTGCTGCTGCTCCGAGTATCCGTAGATGGTATCGCTTATAGGATCGTAGGGTACGTCGAATATGTTATCCCTAGGTCCTGCTATCAAAGATGCAGCTTCAGTATCAGTTTTCAACTGAGAAAGGTTAGAAGGATTTATCCGAGGCCGATTCGGCTTCTCTTGGGCCTGGATCCTTCCACTAAGCCTTTGCAGCTGTGTAGGCTTCATCTGTGGGGAACAAGGAGCCTTTAAACAATGCTGCTGGGAGAGAATATTAACTCCTCGGAACGCTCGACCCGTATTAGCGCTCTGGAGTAGGGTCCCCATAATACCCGGTACCGGTTTAATTTCTGACTCTCCCATAATAAAGGCTTGAAACCCACGAGAAGTAATATTCTTACTTGTCGGGGTATACGGCTGTAGTTTCCCGGTCGGAGCAGGGTCTTGTTTCGCGGATCCTCCATTAGTCTCGGCGATTTCCCCTGGTGCCGGCTGGTCGTGACGTTTTAAATTTGCTCCACCATATTCTCCTTTTTTCGCCCTCTCCGAAGTTGCCACGTTGTCCGTTTTCTGGTTCGGGGGTGCCGCACTGTTCTTGTCCTTCAGCTCCACACACCTTCTCTCCATTTTCCAACACGCCAAGATACGATGTCCTGTAGCGCTGCAAACTTTTCACGTCTCATTATTTGCTAGCAGCTGCTCCACATCGCCCTCGTCGTTCTCCATCGGGTCGGCAGTCGTGGGTGGTGCCAATCGCCCCATGCCACGAGTTGGCTTGTTGCGTCGTGTTCCGTAGTAGCTACTGTTCAACGTGTTGAACTGTTCGATCAGTGCTGCCGGAAACTGTGCCCACGTCCCCTCGCCTTGGACTATTCTGTTGTTGATCCACTCTAGAGCTGGGCCTCGTAACAGTGTTGCTGCGAGCCGTATGCGCATTGCGTCTTTTGTCGGGGTCGTGCATCTAACGGCTTCGAAGTAAATTTCCAGTTCAGCTACAAATCGGCGAACGTCGTTCCTTTTTACTATAGGATCGAACGCCTCCGGTAGCCTCAGCTTCACTGCTTCGAGGTTAACTGTAGCTGCTGCCGTTGTCGCATGTAGAATTGTCGGTGTAGCCGCTGCTGCTGCTGCTACTGTTGTCGCTGCTGCTATGGCGGTTGCCGACTAGTTTACAAGGAGTTTTTCGAGTCGTGGGAGCGCTGCACGTATTTGCTTATGCTCAGCACGTAACTCCGCGATTTTCTGTACTGAAATATCTCCTTTTCCCTCCATTTGGCGATTTACAAGAAGATGCGCGACGAAAATAATCGAATTCTAGGGGCTGGTCGACATACTGCGAGTCAAATTGACTGTAGAATCGACGAGCGTGAGATCTGTAGGTTGCGTAAATCTCCCTTAGGCGAAATTCGCGTCCGATCTTGGCCGTTGAGGAGAAAATCGATCCGACGCTCCAAATTCCAACTTTTTTGGACGAAATTCTCTGGGCCGTTGAGATGAAACTCGATCGAACGGTCGAAACTCCAACCTTTCCACCAGTAAATCTGAGGGGTGTTCGAAAACCGAATCGAGGGGGACTTAGAAAAATTGCGCGGAACTGGTTTTACATACCCGTATCGGCGCTTTCGTCGTCGCCCCCGCAGTTTTTAAAGGCCGGAACTAAGCGGTTGAAGACCTCGCGTGTAAACCCGCGCTGATTATCAAGTGTGAGGATCTGGGATCGAGCTCAGAAAAGATGATTCAAATTGAATTGAAATATAACCTGGGTACAACACGAGGCTATATATAGGCTCGACACAAGGCCCCGTAACCAGGTGTTACGCGAAGGTTCCGCGGGTCGCGAAGCGTCCCGAACAGATCCTTACCGAATTCGGTAGAAGGTAATTCGGTGGCAACCGAAAAGCCAGAATTCGGTGCACGCAACCTAGCTCGGTGCTATAACTATAATAAAATATAGGAAAGCACCTAGCCTAGGAAATCAAGCAATTCATGCATGCATATAATTATCCTATGCTAGAAATAGCATGATAAAAGTAGAGGCAAGCAAGCATAGCTGGCATAAGCCGTCGTACTCTCACAGAGGGGCTGAGATGTAGAGGGAGCCGGAAAAAAAAATTAGAGTCGATCGGTTTAAAGGCGGGGCCTGACATGCATGCATATTCAGAAAGGTTTAAATCTAGATCGGGTTCAGGGTTGTACTGGTTTGAGACAAGAGGGTTTACCTTGCTTGGCAGATTCGTCGACCTTCTCCTTCCCTGCGTGGGAGAAACAATGTGAAAAAAGGGTGTTTTTTGGCACGGTTTAGCAGATGGTTCAACACGTCGCGCCAGTTTGATTGGACACAATGCTCACCTTTCTGCTGTCCCTTCGGTTTTGGGGCAGCCTACGCCTTCTCGTTGCCACCTTTCCGCGGGGTGCTTTGGCGGACGCTGCGACGTTTACCGGCAGGTTCTTTCTTGCTGGTACCCACTGGAACCCCTTTGGCGCGGCCACCCTTTCCTCCTCCATCCCCTTTTGCTCCCTGGCTCCCTTGCTTTTCACCAACCCCTTCACTTTCGACCTTCACCTTACGCGCCTTCGGTTTGCCCGATGCTTGGCCGCGCGCAGCGTCAACTGCCCCGCGTTTTCGGGAAGGGCGAGTCCAGCCCCCCTCCTTCCCTGTACCACTCACCCGTCTGCCACGCCCGCCCCGTCCCTTCACTGGCGCCACATCCTCCTCCTCCTCCTCCTCCTCCTCCTCCTCCTCCTCCGCTGCCTCCTCCTCCTCCTCCTCCTCCTCCTCCTCCTCCTCCTCCTCCTCCTCCTCCTCCTCCTCCTCCTCCTCCTCCTGCCTCCTCCTCCTCCTCCTCCTCCTCCTCCTCCTCCTCCTCCTCCTCCTCCTCCACAGCCTCCTTCTCGTCGTCACCCTGCTCTTCCTCCTCCCCCTGCTCCTCCTCCTCCCCCTGCTCCTCCTCCTCCTCCTCCTCCTCCTCCTCCTCCTCCTCCTCCTCCTCCTCCTCCTCCTCCTCCTCCTCCTCCTCCTCCTCCTCCTCCTCTGCCTCCTCCTCCTCCTCTTCCTCCTCCTCCTCCTCCTCCTCCTCCTCCTCCTCCTCCTCCGCCTGCTCCTCCTCCTCCTCCTCCTCCTTGTTAGAGACTAAGGACGGAGTCTATGAAGATTAGGTGCCCAAATTTCTCAAAATCGTTGGTCTCAATTTCTAGACAGAAACGTCGACTTCACAAGAAACGTTGTCGACGAAAGATGCACGGTTTGAATCCCACGAAATTCGAGTATGTTGTAGCCCTAGACCGTGGCTACATTTACCAACTTGAATCGTATCAAAATATGAAGCATATCTAGAGTTATGTTTTTCGGCGCACTAGGGGGTATGCTGCCACAGAAATTTAACTCATTCACAATTAACTCACAAGTCCCACAAAAGAACATTAGAGTAGCACTAAACCTGGTAGGAGGGGACGAGGAGGACGAGAGGGAAGGTCCCAAGAGAGAGTCCCCAACCAAGGAAACCCCATGCCGCACAATTCCCTTCCCCATAGGCAACAAACTTTGACCTTTGTCACTTTCCAACCCATGCCATCCACCTCACCACAACTTGGCCACACTTACCAACCTGGTTTAGCTTCACCCAACCTCTTGGCAGCATCTATAGTGATGGGCTCGAATTTCCCAACCCCCACAAGTCTGTACCCCATATTGAGTCAATGCCACAACTTCCCAAAGAAGCTGCAACCAAAATATATAAGCATACGAACTCCAATGTTCGTAACTTTCTTGGTTGTGCTCCGATCGCGACGATTCTTGGTTCGTCGGAAAGCTCTTGAGTAGAGGAATCACTTCAGATATCTGCTCAAGCGAAATAACATACACACACACACATAGAAAATCCAAACCACACAAGACACAAATTTCTTGCACACGCTCACACCACGCATGCAACGCACAAACACATGATGGGAGGCAGACAGACGTGAATGCATATGGTTGCATCACACAACACTCCTCCTCATCCTCCTCCTCCTCATCTTCATCCTCCTCTCCCTGCGCATCCTCCTCCTCATCCTCCTCCTCCTCCGCATCACCGGGGTCTTCATCGCCCCGTTTCGGCTTTGTTCCCGTTGCTGCTTTCTTGCCTCTCCTTCCGCCAGATGCTTTTCTTGCTGCGGGTCGGCCCTTTTGGCGCAATGCTTGACCACCCGCCTTGCCACTAGCTTCCTTGGCACCTCGCGGTGTCCCAACTGCCGCGCCTCCGGCGACGTCAGCACTACCTGTCGTCTGCCGCCTCTTCGCCCGCGTAATGAGGTCCCTAGGCATGGCGGTGTGATAATCGTCCTCCCCATTGCTCTTCCTCTGTCTACGCCTCCCCCGTCCACGAGAAGGTGGAGAGCCACCGACCAGCCCCACCGACTCGTGCTCCCTGCGGAGATAACTGCAGCAACGGGAGCTACACTACGGGCTAAGCACGTGTGCTCGTGTGATCTCTGCGTTCGTTAGTCCTTAGTCGTTTTCCTTGTGCACACACTACTTGCTAGTTCACGGGGAAAATTGGCAAGAGTTTCACTCGGAAAAGTTCAGAACAATGATACAATGAAGTTGGAATAGCAAGACTACATCAGAGCAAGCATTCCGGTCGGCCAACTGCCAGCGCAGCTTGGTCGACCGCGTTCCAGCACGACTTGGTCGACCGCACTCCAGCAAGGCAAGGTCGACGGCGTGCCAACGTCACAGGTTGACGGCGTGACAGCGTTGCTCACGCAGGACAGCAGTGCACCCTGCTTCGCAAATGCGTGCAGGTGATTGGCGTGCAGAGCCTCGTCACCTACACAGCGCACAACACCACGTCAACCTCGAGCTGACGACTGCCTCTGATCGGCCACGTCGACCTAGGGATACCACCACCGAGGTCGTGCTCGCCAACTTCGCCTGGGCGACCGTCGCACTCCTCCGCAGCACTTCGTCACCCAGGTAACCTGGTTGACCAGGCAACCACGTCGACCAGCAGCTCCGGTCCGTGCCCGTCGACCTCCCAAGTCGACGACCACCTCCACGTCGACCTCCTCCAGGTCGACGTCCCCTATGGTCGACCAGCTCCACGTCAACCAGCACAAGTCGTCGGCCGACCACCCACGTCGGCCGCCCGAAGCACGTCACGAAGTTGACGCCCCGCTACTCGACGCCCGTCTGCTCGGGGTCTTGCGTAAAGGTCGACGTCGGTCCCTCCTTCGTCGACCACCAGGTCCAGTCGACCACCCTCAGGTCGACTAGCGGTCCGTTAGCCGACCGCTGAAGTCGGCTTCGACGTCCTCTGCAGGTCGACTCCCAAGTCGACCTCCCCGAAGTCGGCGCCACCCTAAAGTCGGCGCCCATGCAGCAGTCCCCCGTGCAGATCAGCCTCCTCGTCGACCAGCTCGCCCACTGCTGCAGGTCGGCTGCTCCCCTCGCACCCGACCACGAAGTCGGCTCCGCCCAAGCGAGGACGGGGCCAATACCCAAATCCCGTTGACACTCCCCTGCCGCGTTCACGCTTGGGCACCCAGCCCATACGGCAGTACAGCTCGGAGACTAGCTCGTCGACGTGCACCCGATCACATAGCAAGTCGTCCACCGCACCAGCCATGCAAAAGGGCATGGCACCTAATGCTGCACGTCGTTATCGCCGTCGCCCACGTCGGCCAAGCGCACTTGGCCGATTGCGACGGAGCACCGGTTGAAGGCCGGATAGTGCAGCGCCTTCGTCAGGAAGTCAACCGGCTGCTCAGAGGTTGGGATGTACTGCAGCGAGAACTTCCCGCGCCTCACCATGTGCTGCAGCCAGGCCTGTCGCCGTTCCATGTGCTTGAGGTTGCCCGTCAACCCCATGTCCGCAGCGACCGTGATGGCCGACTTGTTGTCCACGCGCAGGACAGTCGGCTTCCCGGCGTCCAGTTGCCGGAACTCGGCGAGGAGGAAGCGAAGGCGACGTCCCTCCTTGCCAGCTTCAGTGGCCGCAACGTACTCTGACTCGGTCGACGACAACGTCGCGCACTTGATGCGCTGGCTCGACCAGGAGACTGCAGCCCCTCCGTAGACGAACACGTAGCCGCTCGTGTTCGTCCTGTTCTGCCTGTCACCGGCGTCGTCGGCGTCCACGTAGCCGACCAGCTCCAGCGACTCAGGTCCACCGCCGAACTCCAGGGCGGTGTCGCGTGTGTTGGCGAGGTAGGCAAGGCAGCGATCGACCTCGCGCCAATGCTGGTCGCTCCTCACCGTGAGGCCGCTCCCCAGCTTGCTGCAGGCGAAGGCAACGTCCGGCCTCGTCGTTGTCCCCGCGAACTGCAGCGAGCCGACCTTCTGCCGGTACTCCTCCTCCTGCCGTTCCTGCGCCTCCTCGTCATCGAAGGTAAGCTCGGCGTAGGCACCGACCGAGACCGGTGTCTTCGGGGTGCGCCCGGTCTGCTCCTCGTCGAGGAAGCGCCTGCGCAGCTTGTCGGCGTAGCCCTGCTGATGCAGCCACAGCTTCCCCGCCGACCTAACGCGTACGATCTCGAGCCCGAGGTACTTCTGCACCGGCGAGATCTCGCGCAGCTCGAAGGCGGCTTCCAGCAGCTCCCTCAGCTCCTTCAGCATCATGGCGCTGCTGCTGGCGGCAAGCAGGTCGTCGACGTAGACCAGCACCCAGCAGGCTACTCCACCCTCGCCAACTTTGAAGTAAAGAGCCTCGTCGACCTGGCTCTTCTTCCACCCGGCGCCAACCAGCACATCGTTGAGCGCCAGGTACCACAACAGCGGCGACTGCTTTAGCCCGTACATGCTCTTCAACAGCTTACACACCCGGCCGGTTCCGTCATTAAAGTAGTCCGGCTGAGACATGTACAGCACCCGATCGAGCTTGCTCTGCAGGAAGGCGTTCTTCATGTCGAGCTGCATCAGGTTGAGGTTGAGGACGGCAACGATGCTGAGGAAGATCCTCAGCGTGACGTAGCTGCTCACCAGCGCGAACGTCTCGTCGTAGTCGGCACCGTACACCTGTGTGAAGCCCTTCACGACCAGCCTCGCCTTCTCTCGCTCGACGGTGTCGTCGATGTGGTACTTCGTGGTCAACACCCACCGGTTCTTCATGACGTTCACCCCCGGCGGGCGTTCGACCAGCTCCCAGGTGCCCATGTTGATGAGGCTCCGAATCTCCTCCTCCATGGCGGCCTTCACCGCCGTGCCCTTCCAGCTTGCCAGCGCCTCCTTCACCGTCATCGTCGAGATGTCCCAACGGTGCTCGGGGTCAGCTAGCATGTCGGGGTCGAGCTCCGGAAACTCCTCATCCTCCTCGGCGTCGTCGTACAGCAGGTCATCGTCATCGTCCACGTCATACACCGTGGTGAAGGCAGCGGGGACGAAGAAGTCAGGCGGCCTCCGAAGTCGGCCTGAACGCCGTGGTCCTTGCTGGACCTCCGTGGCGTCTCCTCCATCGTCACTGTCGTCACTGCCCTCGGCGTCCTGCTGCTCCTCAGCCGGCGTCCCAGCCGACTGCTCCACTGTGGTCGGCTTCCCAGCCGACTTCTCCCCTGTGGTCGGCTCCCCTGCCGACGTTCCGGTCGCCGACTGCTCCGTGGTCGGCTTCACGACAGCCTGCTCCCTTGTCGGCTGCTGCTCTTCGACCTGCTTCTCCCCTGTCGACTTTAATCCCTCGTCGATTCGCCGCTCGTCACGTCGGCCACCGGCGATGCACTTGGCCGGCGCCGAAGGCGGCGTCCCACTACTCCCGTCATCGCCGGAGGCCGACACCGAGGTCGGCCCACGCAGGTCGGCCACGAGGGGAGGGGGAGGGGTGTGGACGTCCTCGACGTCCTCAGCAGCAAGCTCACCGACCTCGACAAGCAGCGGTAGCGTCGCCGACGAGGTGTGAGAGGGCGGCAAGCGGCCGGACATCGGCCCATGCTCCGTCTTCTACTCGGCCAGCGACAGCTCCTCGTAGAATACCACGTCCGACGTGGTGACCACCCGGTCAGTGGCGACGTCAAGGAGCTCCCAGCCCTTGCTCGCCTCTGACACACCAAGGTGTAGGCCCCACTTGGCCTTCGGCTGCAGCTTCCCACCACGCTGCGGCTCAGGGACAAGGAACTGTGCCATGCAGCCCCACACCCGCGCCAGCGACAAGTCGGGCTTCTTCCCGGTCAGCAGCTGGTACGGCGTTGTCCCTGGCGGCAGCGTCGATCTCTCCAGGCAGTTGCGGACCGAGACGGCCTGCCGCAGAGCGAGGTGCCACCAGTGGTGCTGCACGCCCATGTGCAGCAGCATTGTCCGCACCGACTCCACCACCGTCCTCATCTCCCGCTCCGCCATGCCGTTCTGCTGCGGGGTATATGGGCAGGTCAGGTCGTGGACGATCCCCTTGTTGTTCACGAAGTCGGTGAACTGCTTCCCGAGGAACTCCCCTCCCCGGTCAGAGCGCAGCATCAACACCGACTTCTTCGTCTGCCGCTCAGCCACCGCCAGCCACTGTACAAACGCCTGCAACGCATCGGACTTCTTGGCGACCGGCTTCACCCACACGTAGCGGGTCTTGCGGTCCTTCAGCAGCAAGAAGTACAGGCTGTCATCCTTGGCAGCCACGCGAAACGGCCCGCACAGGTCGATGTGCACGACGGCCAGTACGTCGTCGGCGTCGGAGCCTTGGTCGGGGAAGGTGTGCCGCGCCAGTTTCCCACCGACGCACGAGACACATGGGGAGTCGGCGTCCGTCGCCGACTTGAGGTCTAGCCCAATGGCGACTTCGTTCTTCGCCGAGCTCCGTATGGTGTCCATGCCGACATGCGCAAGCCTCTCATGCATCCGGTCCGGCGTCGACTTCGCCTTCGGGACGATCGCCCGCAGAGCCACCACCTCCGTCATGGGCGGCGTCGACCTCGTCGTGCAGGGACGCAGGTCGGTGCAGAGGACTCGCCCAGAGTACGTCGCCCGCCCGAGCACCTCCCCTGCTGCCGAGACGAGCAGCATGCCGTCTCCGTTCTCCTGCAGCTTCACGCCATGCTCCTTCAGCTGGCCGGCCGAAAGCAGGTTGGCTCGCACACCCGGGACGTACAACACGTCGGGGATGAGCACCTCCTTCCCGGCCTCCCCTTGCAGAGCGACGGTGCCGCAGCCCTGGACATCCTGCAACGCCCCGTTGAAGCCGCGCACATGCCTGATGGCGCCGCTCAGCTGCAAGTCGAGGAAGGCTTCCTTCGTCCCCATCAGGTGGTGGGAGCAACCGCTGTCGAGCAGGACCACCGCCGGGTTCGCCTGCACAGCTGCCGCCACCGCCTGGAAGTCCTCTCCGGCCTCCGGCGCCAGAGAGATGG